AGAGGTCCAGGAGATGACCACCATCACAGTACTCCAACAATAGAGATACTTCTTGGGAGCCGGGCTGTTCACCTGTAAGAGGTTAAAACTACCAAAGCAGTAGAGGTGAATACCTGGTTCGGTAATATGACCGTAACAGTTGACTATGTTGGGCTGGCCGGATAAGGACTCCAGGATCTTACACTCATGCAGGGCCATCTGGTATCGGGTCCTATCCTAAAATATCATCATGATAACCGACACAGGTGGTGCTCTACTACTACGACCTACTGTACATTTCATTTTCTTCATAGCAAATGTCTGACTACTGTTAACGTCTCTCATGAGGCTGACATATGCGAAGCCACCTGATAGTAAACATACTTGTCATCAAGGTGCAGTGACTTCATATGCTACCCTCAGACAATGGCTTCTCCTCAACTACTTCACGGTCACCAATCTTATATACACGGCTGGGGGTCTTCTTGCCTTTCACCTGTCAGATGATAATGCTAGAGTAAGGTACCCCCTTATGCCACTTTGGTGTCCCCTCCATTCTTTGTGGTGGTGAATGCCTCGACGAGTCGGTTCATGGGATAGTTGTTATAATGATGATGAATTCAACGTGAAGGAGACAGTTGTACAAAAATGGGCTGCGATGACACCGATGCGGATCTTATATCGATCTGTATAACCCCAGACTGCCCTAACGCAAGTCAGCATTCGAAGTGTCACCAACTCATCGCGATTCTCCCACTCACTGCATGATACTGTGGTGTTCTAATGAAATGACCATCGTCTAGGGCGTGTGTATACGGTTTGAGCACTACTCTCGTATTACCATCACATCCTACTACTACTACTACTACTACTACTACTACTGGTGCACATTTCCGCTAGTTATCCCTTGGGTACCTTGCCAGGCTTCTTGGGAGCCGAAGCGGAGGTGTCCATCCACGGGGGGGACACTATGAACACCGTCCTTCACTTAAACGTCGCACTACCACACAACCAACAAGTAGAGTAACCTGTCAAGGAATTCTCCTTGATCCGTGGATTATCTTTATCACTGGCAGGATTTTTTCGGTTGATTCTCCCGGCTAATAGTTTATCGATCAGCAAGGTAGCATATACTCGTCCAAGAGTCAGTAGACAGCACGCATATACAAACGATAGAACCAACTCAAGTGTAGACTCAACGCACGAATCCTGAAGCGTAGAGCATGAGTCCCCTACAATGGAGGGAATTATAAACAAGTCATCCTGCTGCACATTACTCTGAGTAGCAAAACGCTCTGAAGTAGGCGACTGGACTAGCACGTATGAACACAGAACATGTCACTATTACTTGTGCCGCACTCGTCAAGGTAGCACCCCGATCGAGATAAGACGCAATGTTCCAGACAAACTCTCTCTGTGTGCTTGACCATGCCAAACCCTGTCCTCAGCACCAACCAAAAACTCGCGAAGTGGATGTAGGACCATCAAAGGCTGACTACTACTGAGAATGCTGATGGAAGGGCACTTTATTGTTGCTCGCTCTCTCGAAACAGGAAAATGCTGTTCTGAGTGGAGACTGGCACATAGCCTACAGAAATCGGCTGTAGCGTCCCATGCCAAGGACGGGAATAACGCTCAGTCAATCCAACTGGCAGCAACCCTCAGTGGAAAATATCTAAAAGAGGCTCGAAGTTGAGAAGGATAAATAATTGATTGGTTACACTCGTCTTCCCGACAGTTCTGTCTGGCGAGCAGCACTAGTGTGACCCGAGGAGACTATAGAACTCAACAAAGTGAGTGACAAGTGAAATCGCACGATCAAGTTTACTACAACGAGCACTAATGAAAAAGGAGCAATACGCGATAACGAAGCATAGACAAGCATAAATGTATGAGGGCTTTAACCCGTCTTTGTTATACCAATAGAGCCTCGTCGTTAGAGGGCAGTGGAAGAGTACAGCTTATGATGATGATGATAGAGTTATGGTAGTAGTAGTACTAGTAGTAGTAAAGGGTTATGATGATACACTACTCAAGCCGACAATCGTGGATTCTTGTCGTTATACTCATAGTATTTCGGGTCGCCTCTGCCAGAGGTATATCTCCCCTCCCCTAGTCCATCCTCTGGCCAATGGGTCGGGTCCAGGGGCATGTACCTGTGAACAGCCCCTCAAATTCGCTCCCCATCCGACTCTTTCTTGATCCGATATGGAAAGCGACTCAATAATTGACGTCTACCTCCACTCCTCTCGGGTGCCATTGCTACCATCCCAAATCTACAGTCCTCTTCATAATCATTTTAACAAGGGGGATCGACAATAGTTGTTTCCCCTACCTGTTGAATCCGATAGGCCGAGGCTTGTGCCAAGCCAGACATGTGAAGGAGTTGCTGTTCACTGTCCGATTCTGGTATCATTACGGGTACCTTAACTGGTATAGACCCTGAAGAGGAGTACTAGTATAATGATGAGTATGTCGAGAGGCAGAAGTAGGCTACTGGAACAGTCAGGGTCGAAGTACTCAGCCTTAGTGACTTGTCCTCGGCATCGTAATGCATTCCCTCCTAATAGGACCTGCAACAACAACAACACCGCAGATTAATACACTGATAATAGCATATCACATTCCACTATCACTACCACTGTATCAGGTGGACCATAGACACCATGAAACCTCTGTGCCATCACATTAACCATGCTCTGGACTCTGCTACACCACACCTTAGTAGCTTCTGCCTCTGATAGATTACCCTGCATCTGAGAGGGGATCTAAGCTGTCCATGGCGACGTAATGATGCTCGTATAACCACCTCCTTGGGTAGATCAGGGTGCTTCCCTCTCAGCCTCTTCCATGTGAGCATATCCAATGCGAAACGTATCCTAGCCTGATGATGGGGTATCTTGCATCTGATACCAAAACACTGTGAAGACACTGTTGTATTATAAACGGTCTTTAGTACTGGTTCTGATCTTTGAGTTGGATAATTTTACCATCCTCACTTACTTTCAACCCACCACAGTATCTACCACCATTATACATGATCATGCACTGATCCCAATAACACTGTTACCCATATGGATCATTGAGGGGCATTTTAGTAAACCATATCCAACTCTGCCACATGGCCAACTCGATAGTCTTGGCACTCAGGGCATGCCTATGATGTACACCATGGGATGGGGGACGATAGAAGGTAGCAGCAGCCTACACACAAGGAGGCATAATCAGAGGAGCTACCCAACATTTCCTATACTACCGGAGCTGTACCAAGTACCACTACTAGCCCTGCACTAAGGTTCCTACAGGATGGCATGCAGGCTACCCCCATGGCTGCTGCTAGGTTATCCGCAACAGCATAGATCTTAGCACAGGGGAATAGGACCGAAAATGCACTCTTGAAGTTGAACCTGATAGGAAAATATCAGAAAGAAGGTTATCATGAGCAGGAAGAATACCCCCTGAAGAGAGGCGATAGACTGGGCATGTTTTTAACAGTACACATATCCTCCTTATCTAGATCCGTTGTTAATTCGACTGTACCAGGAACCTAAGGACACATACCTTGTGAGCTTGGCATGATGATGCTGATGATATCACTACCGAGAATACGACTCTATCGACTTGATGCATGGCCACTGGCAACTGTTTCTGCCATACATATGGACTAGGTGGCATGCCTGGTTCCTGCTTCTCCTCCTCCTCAGACCATCAGTTGAGTCCACATCCTCATCGTGTGTTGAACCAAGCTAAAGCCATAGAGTCCAAGTAGATAGACTAGAGTATACCCACCAAATGAGAGGCCAATCTCTTCCTTAAACTTTCAAGTCTATTGGGCTTGTCCCAAAGAGCAGCACTCTCAGCCGCAGTAGGAGCACTCTTTTATTACCTATCATACACTGTAC